CGGCCGCCCGAGCCTTTTGTCTCGCCCCCCCCGCGCCGCGCGAGCCCCTCGCGCCGTGCAGGGAGCGCCGCGCGCGCGCCGCCGCCGGCCCGGGCAGGGGCGGGGAACGAGCAGGAGGAGGCGGCGCGCGCCGCCGGGCGGCCCGAGAGCGCGCGCGCCCCCTGCGGGCGCCGGCGGGGCGGCGCAGCCCCCATGGAGCGGGTGAGCGAGGCCGCCGCCTGCGGCCCCTCGTCGGGCTGCTACACCTACCAGGTGAGCCGGCACAGCGCCGACGTGCTGCACAGCCTCAACCAGCAGCGCAAGAACGGCGGCCGCTTCTGCGACGTGCTCCTACGCGTGGGCGACGAGAGCTTCCCGGCGCACCGCGCCGTGCTGGCCGCTTGCAGCGAGTACTTCGAGTCGGTGTTCAGCGCGCAGCTCGGCGACGGGGCAGGTGGCGGCGGCGGCGGCGCGGAGGGGAGCGCGGCGGAGGCGGCGGCCGGAGGGGCTGCAGCGGCGGCCGGCGGCGCCCCCGGGGGCGGGCGGGAGCTGGAGATGCACACCATCAGCTCCAAGGTGTTCGGAGACATCCTGGACTTCGCCTACACGTCCCGCATCGTGGTGCGGCTGGAGAGCTTCCCGGAGCTCATGACGGCCGCCAAGTTCCTACTGATGCGCTCCGTGATCGACATCTGCCAGGAGGTCATCAAGCAGTCCAACGTGCAGCTCCTCGTGCCCCCCGCACGCCCTGACATTATGTTGTTCCGTCCGGGGGCTGCTGACCTCGGCTTCCCTCTTGACATGACCAATGGTGCCGCTTTGGCACCCAATGGCAATGGCATTGCTGGCATGCCTGAAGACGAGGCCACGCGGGCTGCGCTCACGGCTGCGCAATCCTCCCTACCTGTCCTGCAGGGTGTGGACCGCCTGCCCATGGTGGCGGGACCTCTGTCCCCACCGCTGCTGGCCTCACCGTTCCAGAATGTTGCTGCTAGTGCCCCCACTTTAAGCACCAAGAGGGGCAGAGGGCGTCCCCGTAAAGCCAATCTCTTGGACTCCATGATGTTTGGTACCCCAGGGGGCCTGCGAGAGGCTGGTATCCTGCCTTGTGGTCTCTGTGGGAAAGTATTCACGGATGCTAATCGTCTTCGGCAGCACGAGGCTCAACATGGGGTGACAAGCTTACAGCTGGGCTACATAGACATCCCACCCCCACGACTGGGTGAAAACGGTGTTCCTGGTCAGGATGACCCCGATGCACCTCGAAAAAGAAGCAGGACAAGGAAACAGGTGGCCTGTGAGATCTGTGGCAAGATTTTTCGGGATGTGTACCACCTGAATCGGCACAAGCTGTCACACTCTGGCGAAAAGCCTTACTCTTGTCCGGTGTGTGGCTTGCGGTTCAAGCGAAAAGACAGGATGTCCTATCATGTTCGATCGCATGATGGCTCTGTGGGAAAGCCCTACATCTGCCAGAGCTGTGGAAAAGGCTTTTCCAGGTAAGAGGATGCTTGTATGGACCATTGACACAAAGAGAGACCTATAAAGTTGACTTTCTATCTCTTGGAAATGTACTTAGGATAGTTTGACTGTTCCACTTTAAAATGTTTCAAGGAGTGAGACTTCCATCATTTCCTCTGGGATGCTATTCTGCAGTCTCTTGGAAGGGTTTAAAAGTAATTAAGACATTGAACTGGGAGTCAGCTGGCTTCTGGCTAACGTTCCCAGCTTTGTCCCAGAGTTGGTTGTATGCGTGTCCTTGGGCAAATCAGTTGGTCTCTCTCCCTCAAATGACTCTTCTGTGAACTGGGTATTGAAATAATTACCTGCCTCACAGAAGTGTCTTGAGATCGCTGATGTGTAGGTAGTTTGAAGGTGCTGTTGAAGTGCAAAATAATACATCTCAAGATTATTATTTTTCTCGTATCCATTTTAAATTTTCTTTTTCTTAACTTCCCTTCATTTCTCTTAGTTCGTAATGTTTTTTATCACCCAAATGTGAAGGAAGAGGTGAGATTTCAAAGGCTGCAGCATCAAGTGTCTTTTAATACATGATCTTTGTGTCCTTTGGGTTTACATCCTTCTGAAGGGGATCCTGTTTCTGCCCTGCAACATACGTAAGATCTGTGCATTTAATGTTGCTGATTTTTTGTTGTCGCTGTTTGTGGGAGCTAATTTAATAAGTAGTTTGGTACACGTAGTTGTGTTAGTGGTATCTTATAGTCTGAGTAAATGAATTTGAAACTTTTTTGGAATTTTGCCGCTCACTTTGAGTGTAGAAGTAGTGGGGGGGAGGGGGATGCATACACTGCTATTTCTGTACCAGCAGTCGGTTTTCTACAGCACTTGATTTGCTCTAACATGAGGGAAGGAATTGAGGTCTCAAAACAAATCAAAAGGCCACCAGGCTGTGTAAATTGTGGAACTGTGCCCCTGCTTTCTTTTTGTTAGAGGGACTTTCTTTTATTGAAATAAATTATGAAAATGTAGCCCCACCCCCCCTTCTTCTTTTAAATCGGCAGTAATTAGGGATGCATCTTCATAAGGACTGCAGATTCAGTGATGGAAGGTCACAAAATGAAAATTTCATCTGTGGCTAGAAGTGAAAGTACTTTTCTTATAGCACTATCTGGGATCATGTGCCAAGTTTTATTGTTTTTACTGACACTTAAAGATTTCTGCTGTTGCTGAATGAAAGGTTTTTGTCATTAAGGGGAAGTGAGAAATACATGTTGAGTTCCTATTTTCCTCAGTAAGTTAATGTGAACAGGCCGGAATGCTGTTACAAAAATTAACAACAAGACCGTTTGTGTATCTGTAAAACCGAAGTATGAATGAAAACCAGAGACTGTTAAGTTTCAGTATTCAATCTTAGGAGCAGCCAGAGGAAGTTGGAAGCGTGATGTCTCTTTTTAGTGTCCTTTCCTATATTCAGTAGCGCAGCACGTGAGCTGGCTGGGCTTGAGGTACCCAGAAGGACCCCAACCAGTCTGTCCGGTTACACCGCTCCAGCCCAGCGCTGGAGCATCGGGTGTAAGAGCCTCACTGCAAAGTCCAGCCTATTTTCTGTCTGCAGTGCGTGAATTCCATCCCGTGCCCTCTCATTGGTGCAGCGGGGAAGTTGGGGGAGGAGAGGGTGGAGAAGTTGTTTCCAAGCAGTTTTGGTCTCATACAATGAAAAGCTTTCTTCCCACTAGGAGAAACTCCCACCAGGACAATCTGCAGCTCTTCAGTCCTTTCTTCTTCCAAGTAGGCTTTGCTGGTTGTGAAGAATGGTCTAACTTTTTACAGTAATAATTTGCTCTTCCATTGCACCTTCTAGTTGGAATGTTCAGAGCACTTTATTTGTATTAATGCAGTCTCCCTACCAAGTTGTAAATTAGGACTATTTTTTCATCTTGCAGGTGGAAAATGTGTCACAGCAACAGAGTTTAGATAGTCTTTTTTTGCAAGAGATGCTTAAAATTGGCTTTTTTTCATCTGTGTTTAGGACATAAACCAAAAGGGTCTGATTTTCAAATATTAAGCAACTGTAAATCAAAGTGCCTGATTGGTTAAGGTCTAAATAAGATTTTGGATGGGGATGTGCAGGCTTGAAAATCATAATTTGTATTTCCTGCTTCCTCTGATCATTGAGTCATGATTTATTCCTGAGGAGAAAATGCTGCCTTTTTAGCAAGTTGGAGAGGGTACATAAGGTAGAGTCCCAGTTGTTGGTGATCTGGTTCTTGGAAAGTTAAATATCACTACATTTGTCATAGATACAGCACTGGGATTTTTTTCCTTTTCTTGTTAAAATTGTAACTTTATTTTTAGTATTTGTTTTAAGTCTGCTTATGTGTATTTTCCTTTAAGGCCAGACCACTTGAATGGACACATCAAACAGGTGCATACCTCAGAGAGACCTCACAAATGTCAGGTAGGAGCCAGACTGATGTTGTGGATAATGTTTGGCATTGCATTTATGTGTACAGACAATTTTAAAGTATCAGTAGGAATACTGTGTATATGTGATTTGGGATAAATGTTTGTAAAGAACAGTGTTCCACAGTGACATCTGCTTTACCTCCCTCCTGTCCCCCCTTGCCTCATCTACAGCTTTGGTCCTCCTGCCTCCCCCCCTTCTACCAGATGTTCTTCCCTACTGTGCTGTCCCAGTCTCACCCTGGATCTCTTATCCAGCCACCTGGGCTTGGAGTCAGTGTCACTGATTATTCCCTCCCTCTTTTTTAAATTGCAGTTGTTGCCATCAGGAGGCTCCAATGCTGACTTAATTTTTTTAGAATAACTTCAATAAATAATTAGTTAATTGTAATTATTATAACTTGTCAAGATACTACTTTTTTACATTGCATAGCTGTCAGAACATTGCACTGAGCAAAATTGGAAGCTTTTTTTTATCTAAGAGAGAATATAAATAATGGCATCACAGTATCCTTTGTTGTACAATGTCATAATGTTGTATATAGTTTTTTTACAGTTAATAAGGTTTGAAAGACCAAATGAAGGAAGACATTTTATAATCCATTTATAGAGAGATTTAAAAGGTGCCTGGTAGTATCAATTAAAACAAAGTTGAGAATCAGTTTCCACCATCACACATTGCCGTCAGAGAGATGTTGGACAAACTTTCAAGACAGTTGTTGGGCTAACAATCTCCATGCTTGGCTTCTGAATAAATATTTAATATTTATTTAAAGAAGCAGGAGCAAGATTATTTTCTATTTTTTTTTTCTTTTGAAGACAGTGAAGGTTAGAGGATTTTTTCTTCTAAAATATTTAACCATGTTTTATGAACTTAGACAATCCTACATGATTGCTGCCTCCTGATCTGCATTGTTGCACATTTTGACACACTTATATTTCCTTCAAATTGTGAGAGTATCGATGCATTTTGAAATTTTAAGAATCCTGAGAAGTTTTCTAGACAGCTGGAGCCATCTAAAGGTTTCTGTTGACAACCATATGATCTGTGAAAGCCCAGCACATTTGAAACTCGGGCCATAGAGCTGTCACATTGTCCTAGATAAAGCCTTAGATTGGCTCAAGCTTCTTGAGATGATTTTATGCGTTACAGATTTATACAAACTGGAAAATTCCACTCGTAAAAAAAATTCACAGTGTGGGGACAGCAAGGGGTCTATGGATGAACTGATGGTGGATGTTTATGTCCCAACATGAACTCCTCAGTCTTTTGCTACTTGATGCCAAGATTACTGGATGAACACTTTAAAAATTAACAGATAGCTATGAATTGTCCTTTGCCAACTGATAACCAACAATTCTTTTATAATTTAACATTGATTTAAGAATATTAAATATCAACTCCATGTGAATCAGAGGATACACTAAGAGCTCAGAAGTAAAGGAACATGGAAGCTAAGATGACACAGCCAAGCTCAATGCCATTTCCTTGCACACTTGTATTTTGTGATAGCACTTTCCAAGAGCAGTCTTTCTTACTGTGTGTTGTCTAAAGTGCCATGATACTGTATGCACTGTTCATTTCAGTTAAAAGGTACTAGTCTATAATCATCAGGACAGAGTTGAGATTGTCCTTCAGGCTTGGTTTGTTCTTGATTTTTGATTGCTTAGCCCTGCAAAGTTAATTTTTCATGAATCTTAAGGCATGGAAAATTTGTTAATGACCTGTTGTGTGTCTTTGCAGAAAATGCTTTGTAATATCCTATCAGATTTAGAAGGTCTTCTTGAATATGCACAGATCTGCTGTACGTTGTAGAAACCACAGAAGGGATGCAGTCACTCAAAACTTGTTTCAAATCTGAAAACTGATGTATAAATTGATAAAGTTCTCCCTGTGATTATCTCATAACCAGTTACACATCTGTTCCATTATATATATATCTAACACAGGATCTGGCCACCAAGAAGGAAAACAGCTTAATATTGGCATGTTGTTTCCCCTTTTTCCATTCTCTTTTTCCACTGATTTTGTTTGGCAAATTAGCTCCCCCTGAGAGCAGCCTGAACAGCATTGAGCATCCTTTTTGAATCTTTTGAGTTCCTGTTGAAAATTCCTGTTATTGTCATGCTTTGTTTATGTTTACTGGAAAAGAGAATTAGCCTGTCAGTAAACAGAAGAGCACGCCAGAATCCTCTATTGCAATGGCATTTTTGGAATTTGTGCTCTGTTATGATGTAAACAAACTGGCCATTTACCTGAGCTCTTATGTATCTTTGCAAACCGGTGATATGTATGTAATGTTTCATTGGTGTGGCATCACAGTACACTTTGGAATACCAAAACGAAAGTGGGAAGGTGTCAACCCAACTTCAGAATAAAGTATGAGAAACAGGACAATTTTAATCTGAACATCCCTGCAACAGCTGTAGTTTTCAGTGCTCAGTTTGTAATCCTACACTCATCCCCCTGAAATAATGGCTGTGCTTCTCAGATCTTTCACAAGTATCCTAATTTCCAGCACCTCTAGTACCTGATGCCAAAGTCTTGACTCCAGCTTTTTCATTACTGTTAAGATAGACTCAGATTAGGGAAGATCTCCAGAGAGCCAAAGCAGCTGAAAAATCAGATCCAAGGAGTTGTCCAGGTGTCTGGGCAAATGGCACTCTGGATCTTTTCCCTTGGATGGTTGCACTGGTGAATTTATTTTTTTTTCCCCAGTCTGACAGTTGAGTCCTGGCTATAGGAGAAGGAGTGAGTCAGTTTTGTGGCCAGAATGGGGCAGCTCAGTTACTGACCCCACGGGATGGGGTGAAGCTGTCAGCTTTGGCGTGTCCATGTATGAAAGTCAGGCTGCAGTTTGGGAGCAAACAGTGATCTGAAAATCTGTAGACGTGAAAAGAACAAGGGGAGAAAAAAGAAGTTTGCTCCTCTCAGAGACAAGACAGGTTGTTGTGGCAAATTAATTAAAAAAGAAAAATACAGGTTAAATTAAAGCACAACTTAATTGGCATCCCAAGTCCAGTGCGTATCCCATTGATTTCAATGCAGAATGAGTTTCTTCCTGTCCTAATTTCTCTTACTTCCTGCCTATTAGCAGGAAAATGGCAGCCACCATGGAATAAGCTCAGAGACATCCACATCCATAGAAAAGTTGAAACTTCAAGAGGTATTTCTTAAACAATGTTTTTTAAACTTTATATATTCTTTTTGATCTATTTATATACCTGTGCATTGTTTGATAGGAAAGCACTGGAGAGTTTTCTTCTGTGATTAACAATTAATGATAAATACTTAGCACTCATTTAGCACTTCACATCTTTCATAAAATAAAACTTTTTTTTTCTCTATACCTTTTATAAATATTAACTATTTGAATATTAACTTTGGGGTTTTCTTTAACCCTAGTCCTGTCTCCCATTGTTATGATTCAGCTAAACTGGTTCTTGCTTTCTCCACTGGACTTATTGTTTTTAAGCTTTGTTGCAGATATATTTATATATAGCTTATCCAAAGGTGAGCTTTACACAACTCGGCAGCAACAGTGAAAAATCAAACACATAAATTATTATACTGCTTTTCCCTAAGCTTTCAACTGGCTAAGTTCACTGTGGGATAGATTTGGTTTTACGTTGGCATCGCTGTATTTATGTGATTTGTCTCTGGTCTGCTTCTCATCGGCTAATGCACTCCCAGTGCTCGGGTATGGACCCTCCTGCAGCTCCATAGCTTTAGAGTTAATGATGATGGATCTCTTGGCTGTCATTGTTGATAGTCCAGTCATATATTTTTAGCTGATATCCAACAGATTGATTAGTATCAGGGCTGCAATCCTGCCTTAAGAGAGTGCTTACCTCTAAGAACGCTTTAGTAAGTGAAAGCTGCACCTCTTTTGCTCAGCGCTGTGTACTGAGATTACAAAGGAAGAGAAATCTTTCATGTTCAAGAATTTGCCTCTTAAACCTCAATACTTGTAATTTATAAATCTCTGTCTGGTGGGCCTAATTAAACTGTGTATGTCGCAGAAATCCAGATAATTTTACTGTTGCCTTTTAAATTTCATTAAGTTCTGATCCTCTGAGGTGCTAAGTCTTGTACTTGCTGCAGAGCAGCGTCATCTCCATGGGAGTTTTCCACACTTAAGCATCTCATAGGATTGAATGAGTGTAAAGCCTGTTGAAATTGATAGGTGCTTTTCAGCTGCCTTCAATGGTTTTTGGATTAAGCTCTTGCTTAACTGAATTTTATGTAATTACGTTATCCTCTTCTGTATTATCAATTTCACTTACTTGAATTATAATTTTGGAATTTTACAAAGATTGTTACTTTAACAAGTCTTGTCTCTATTGAAACAGTGATTTGATTACACACTGATATTTAAAAATAGGGATTATACCCAGTTCCCAAGACATTGAACAGCCTCATATTATTTCTTTGGGGATTCTGGTTATAGCTTTTAAAACTGTGTTATTTTATATGAAGTTGGTATAAACAAAACACTGTACACTCTTGAATGTCACTGCTCCAGCTTGGTCTGGTCATTCTGATGTATGTTTGCTTTTCTTGCACTTGTGAAATGGTTTAGACTGTAATACCATGTGCAGCATATTGCTGGTGATTTATTTCCCTTCACACATTAGGGACAGAGCAAGCCTTTCAGAACTGGCAGGCCACTGTAACAGGCTGTGGGCACAGCCTGCCTGCCCACTGCTGGAGTTATAAAAATGGGAGCGAGCCTTCACTTATCAGACAGATTTCAGCTGGAAAGTGGGAAAATAGAATCAATATTATGCGAAATCAAGCTTGTTTTGTGGTAGTAAGGGGAATATGATACCTTGACCAGGGGTAAGTTAAAACAGATTACAATGTCATGCAGTTATTTTGATACCTGCTCAGTTTTGAGGCTTCACTTCTACAGTTTGTCTGCACTGCTGCTGTGGATACCAGGATGACTCTTCTACTGTCTCTTGTCATTGTCATCCCAGATAATTCTCTGATCCTTTCTTTGTGTATCTTCACACTCCAAAAGAATTCTGTGTACTGAAGTGAGATTTATCTCATCAAAGAATAGAATTTAGGAAAATGACAGAGAGGACATTTGAGTAGTTTAAAGTGATTGGAATGGCTCAGTGGAATGGCAGAACTTACTGTAAATGGAGCAAGGTGGCTTCTGCTATTTCTTCTGTTAAATATTACTTAAGACTTTAGTATCTTCACCCTCAGAAAGGAGCTAAAGCCTTACAAGTCTATCTTGGTGTAAGTTTTACTGTCTGTAGTGTATCAGAGCTGTTTTCTTGCTGCTTTAATTCTTTTGAGTAGTAGCATTACATCTTGTGCAATGCATTGGCGTTCTGAACTTTTTATCTGGGGGAAAAAGGCTTGTGCATCATGTCATTTTTTGTGTTTGCACAGGATCTAAGGTATTTACTCTAAAGAATACTAAATATATTCAACAATATCAGTGCTGTTAGCAGAGTTGATGAATCACATGGTTCTCGTTATACCTGCAGACTTGTAATGCTTCCTTTGCCACTCGTGACCGGCTGCGCTCACACCTGGCATGTCACGAAGACAAAGTTCCATGCCAGGTGTGTGGGAAGTACTTGCGAGCAGCATATATGGCAGATCACTTGAAGAAGCATAGCGAAGGACCAAGCAATTTCTGCACTATCTGTAACCGAGGTAATGAAGAAACTATTTTTTTATTCCAGTGGGATGGGACAGCCCTTGAGGGGAGCTGTAAGGCTGCGTGACTCTGCAACAGGAGGAGGTTGTACCCTATTTGTGTACATACTCTGCCTTTCCTACTGACTACTTAACCCTGAAACTGATGGAGTATAGGTCTAGCCTTTTCACATGGCAGATAGTTCCCAAAGAAACTCGGTTTAAATCTGAATCAAATTTTATTTGCTAAATAGCCAGATCCCTATACAAAATAACCATGATAAGTTGCCTTGCTGCCATTCAACATACATTTTTGTTTTTCTATACCTGATTAGATTTAAGCTCTTGCAGTCAGTTTGGAAGAAAAATGTTTTTGTATCTTGAAATGCACATTAAATTGAAAATCATACACTGAACATAAATCTACATTATATTACCAAGTCTTAACCTCCTGGTGCAATAGAGTCAAGCTGCTTTTCCCTCTTAACACAAAAAACTGTTTTGTACTAATGTACATTTCTAAAACATACTTTGTAAAGAGCACTAGAAATGTGCTTTACCTTTATTTGTACAAATACAGCTTTTCACAGTTGGAAGGGACCCATAAAAATCACCGAGTCCAGCTCCAGTTCTGTGCAGCACCATGTAAAATTAAACCATATGACTAAGCTTATGAAGCTTTTCCATCTCTTTGGGGTACTCTTCAGTTGGAGAGAGTTGGAAATTTAGGCTTTGTGGGATGTAAGGCAAGCTGGAAAAATTATTTTGACTTATTGGTGACTTTTTTGTGAGGGATTAATTCACAGGTTCAGAATGCCTTTTTGGCTCGCACAGGTATACATTGCTAGTAGGTGTTAGAAGAGATTGCTGTGTTTTGGGATATTTTTTTTTCTGAGGTTTTTTCCTGACATGTGTTCTGTTTTCTAGTTTAAGAGAGGTGAAATCTTTTGAAAAAATTAAGCTCTGCTGTTTAATGTGCAGACTGTACAGGGAGCTTTTGGAGTTGATGAGTAATGAGACATTAAATTGCAAGGGAGGTGTTACCATTAGTTGAACAGCCTGTGAATCCTGAAAGTGATGTTATGAGTGTGAGTGGAAAAGGCATCTGGGTTGAAAATCTTAAGGTTTTGAAGCTCTGGGTAGATGGTGTGAAATGAAGCTTGCCCTCCTTTTCAGCTGAAGGCCTGGCTTCTTAAAAACGGCTTAAGCTTATCCTGATTCTTTTTGTGACAACAACATGGATTATACTGTTTGAGATCCAGGTGCTATCCTGCTCTCCTTCCGTTGAATGTGGTGTCAAACAGAAACTCAGATGGGTTGGGAGGAATTGTCTTGTTCCCACGATTTGTAAGCTTGAATTTCAACTTAACTACCAGTGGATGTCACTGCAGCTCTTCAGAAATGGAGCCAGTGTGACAAAGACAGACCCGGTATTCAAACAATAAAATGACTGAGTGATTTATTCACATTTTACAAATCTAAATGTACAGTGGCAATTTAAGTAAAATATATACTTTGCTGTAGAATGATAGGGAACCTGTTGTACAGGTTCAAACTTCAAGCAACTACTTTCTTCTTACAGTTTGTGTATTTCATGGGAGTTGTTGGAATTGTCTGCTGTGAATTTCAGTTCACATCAGGATTTTTAAAATGTAATTATGAATAATGTTTAACAGGAAGTGATAAAGTTCATAGGAAGGGGAAGCTACAGACTGGATTTGTCAAACAATTGTGTTGTAAACTCGTTTTATGCTGTAAATTTTGATTATAGATTTGTGATCAATGACAGCAGAATTTTTAATCCTAGATGTTCTAGAATCGAAGTATAATGCTTAGTGTTTTAAACAGTTAATTTTTAAATTGTTGAGCCTGGCAAGATGAAGTCTAATGGAAAATTTCTGAATTAGAAATACCTATTTGATAGGCATTGGTGCAGTCAGAAGCCACACACAGTAACCTGATCACAGCTGTGCCATGGCTGAGGTGCTTGTGCAGTGTGATTTTGTTTATTCTTCCCTTGGCTAATATGCTGATGTATTTTTTAATTGAAACTTAGCTGGTTCTGGATATAGTAATTGTCAGCCTCTGGGTATAGTAATTGTCAAGCAAGAATGCTCTACAAGCTCAAGCTGCTTGTGGAGAGAATTTTGGATGTTGGCCACTTAAAAAAAGTGGATGAAAAGGTGACTTTACACAGCTCAACACTCCCAGTGCTAATAACAGAGCTTAGACTTCCTCCGTTTATCCCGCTGGGCTGAAGGCTTTCTGTGGAACTTAATGAAGTGTATTACGTAGTTTTTAAGGTTTAATGGGTTTAAGAGATGTGGATGGAACTCAGCACCTGGCAGAAAGTAGTAGTCAATGGTTTGCCATGTCACGTGGCTTATTTGTTTATCATACTTCTTTTACAATGTGGCAGTATAATTTTAAGGAACTATGAGCTGTGATTTGATGTTTTATCCAGGTTGTTTCCTTACTTGAGGTTTTTATGCTTAGAGTAATCATGGAAACAATTAAATCTTGTTAAATCAGGGAAACAGTGAAGCAATTTGGAGGGGTTTTGTGTTGTTGTTTTTTTTTTTTTCCCAGGGATTTTGGGGTTTGTTTTGGTTTCTTTTTCTTTTTCTTTCTTGGTTTGGTATTTTGTTTCATTTTGGTTTTTTTCTTAAAGAATTTGTCTAAATTGTGCTTAAAAAACTAATCCTCAAGCCCCACTTTTTAAGACAAATTCTCTTTAATCAGTTTAAATAAAGAAAACATGCTCCTGATGCGTTGTTACACAATCTTCTATTACCATCCTTAGGAACTTTATTTGCTTGTGTGGGCTTTTTCAAAGAATTCTAGAGATTAATGACTTTGGCAGGTCTAGAGCTGATACTTAGTAATAACACGTACAGTTCAGAAGTTTGGGTTTATGTTTCAAACACATACAGATTGTTTGTTTCACAGAATCAAATTAGTTAGGAAAAGGGTAAATATTCCAATCGCAAATGAGAATTTATTTTTCACGATGAGTTCTTGTACATTTCATGGTGGCAGAGTCCATTAAAGCAAGGCACATTCTCCTTATGTTCCAGCTAAATCCAAATTACAATTTTTGAACAAGGAGCATCCTGCAATTATTTCTACAGTTTATCTCCTTATAAATCTTATCTAAGAGATCAAGGGGTAGGTCCCATTTATATAAAGGAGATAATTTCTTCTCTATACATATTTTTAATATTGGTTCTTCTGGTACGAAGGAATAATCTGCCCTGCAAAATAGAGGGATGTGTATGAGTAAAGTAATAAATACATTCCTTCTCTGGAAAACACTGCCACTTTATCCTCTGGATTAGTCTGACTTTTCTCTGAAAGAGACTTTTAAGAATGAAGGATTATGGTCTATGAACCCCCATCTTCCTAGGACAGGCATTCGTAATTAAAGTCTGGTGGAGATAAAAAGACCAGTGCTACGTGCTTCAGGAAAAAATTAGGATGAAAACAACCCCAAAAACATCTCTCTTTAAACAGTTTCCCATGAAGCAATTGGCATTCTTATGGTTTTGATGGAAGTTGATGACTCACATGTTCATCTGCCAAGTGCATAAAGGGGAGTTAACACACTTCGCAGCAGTTTTCATTATATAAAACAATGTACTCTACAAAAAGAACTGCAGAGTTCAGAAAAAATACTGTGTGCAGAGATTAAAAGTTCAGATTTTCCTGTGTCAGTTGTGGTGTAGAAAAACACTGAATACCTGCATGTAGTCCTTTTATAACGCTTGGCAGTGAGGTTTTAATGCATTGCTCCATCAAAGAGGTTGATCTCAGCATGCATGTGGTTATTAGCCACACGTGTGAAATAAGGAAAGTACCTCATAGGTGGAATGTCACCATTATTATCTGTACACTGTGCCCTTTTCTCTACCAGTCAGAGGATTGTTCTTTCAGGTCTACAGTGGGTTTTTTTTTGTATTTGTAAGAATATGTTCTCTTGTTGCACAGTGAGATTTTCAATGCAACATTTTGTGTCTGAGGGTAGGTCTTGCATTATTTCAGAGGATAATATCCTTACTTTAATTCCCTGGATGACTTGGCCTTGGTGATTCTGCTCCATTGTGTTTTGAGAGTGGTATGATCTTGTTTTCTTCAGTTGTGATGTATCTACTTTTCTGTACTTCTGTCTTCAGCTCAGGGGTCCACAGGAACTACCTCTTGTTCATTCTCAGCAGCCTGCTCCTTTTCCCTTCAGCAGGTTGCTGTGGAGTTCTTGCTTTGCAGGTCCTGTATATATAATTCTTAATAACCCCTGGATGAAAGTCAGGATAGAGGGATATTCTGTGTGCTAGGCACAGGGAAATTTAGTGTAAAGCCACATTCATTATTAAATTCAGCACCTGAAACTAGCAGCTGCAATCAGAAAATCCACCCCAGAGAGGTGTGTAGTATTTGGTTTGCGGCCTTCCTAATATATTATTATATATTATCAAATGTAAATGCAGTTATATCACTACAAAAATGTCTTTATGGCAGAATATCTATTCATACTTTAAGCAAAATACTGTTTTGAAAGTTCTCTTGCAAGGACTTGTGCTGTAAATGCTATATTGGTTTAAAAAAATCTAGGGCTTGGGTTTTCTCTCTCCAGAAAGGGAACCTGCAACTGTGGGTCTCTGATGGTGAACCTTGTGTTGTGTTCTTAGTTTTTAGTGGAAAATGTTTCTAACATGAAAGTGCCATAATACTCTGTTCAAAATAAAATAGAAAATTAAGCTGGTTGGTGGTGGTAGCTTTACCTCTGTAGGAAGTCGTTAAAACTCTGTCCTCTTTGTGCCTCATATATGGTCCAAAGGTACTAGTAGTAATTGCAGATTTTATTGAGGTTGAATTTAAAAACATTCCAAAGTATATGTGAGATAATTTATTGCATTAAAGAGAAACAACATATTTGTGAGACTTTAAAAAAACATTTTAAAAAGCACATGCACAAAAGTGAAAAAGTGGTTTGTTCAGAAATCAATTGTTTGATATATATATATATATGTTTTTATTTTCAGTGTTTGGCGCTTACATATCAGAGCTAATAAAAATAGTGAAATTTATTTTTAATACTTTTTGTTAATTCTAGACAAAATATGAGTTCTAGTATACTTTTTAAAACTCAGGATGAGCTAACTGCAGGAAATGTTTTTCAAAAATTACTATAGAGCAAAACTGTATACCTTAAAAAGTCAATAGTTTCAGCTTTCTGCCTTCTAGAAGTCACTATAAGTGCTAGAAACCTAAAGGAAAAGAACCTATGGCCCTAAAAAGCAACGACGGTTGTTACTAGAAAGCATTCCTTCAGATCTTAACAGCATAAAATCAACTAATTGGAGCTATCTTCCTAAGTATTATCAGATGAAGAAAGCATTTTTAATTGAAATAAATAAACCAGCACCAAAATGGTGAAGAGACATAGGTGCCTTTTTGTATGATGTCTCTTCTGCCTTTTTTTCCTGAAAGGTTCATGTCACCTGCTAGGTTTGCTTACACAGAATTTGTTTTTTAAGGAGGCTGTTCTCTCTTTGTGACTAACAAAAAGCAAACTCAGTCTGATGAAAAGTGTGCATTGCATTACTGCCTGACGATGACAGGACTCCTATGTGAGCATGTCAGAGGGAGCTGGTGGAACAGCAGCTTTGCAGTAGGGAGCAGGAGCAAGAGAAAGATTAAGGAACAGGGAAGGCAGATGTGTGTCTTTGCTGGTGGCAGGATCTCATCTCCTTTTATCTTGTTTAGGTTTCTCCTCTGCCTCCTACTTAAAGGTCCATGTTAAAACCCACCACGGTGTTCCCCTTCCCCAGGTCTCCAGGCACCAGGAGTCCATCCCGAATGGGGGAGCAGCGTTCCACTGCGTCAGGACCTATGGCATCAAAGGCAAGAGACTCGCTGCTCTGCACCTTGCTGCTCTGTGCAGAACTTTGTGTTGTGGGGTGTTGGGCTGGGCACGAGAAAGGGGAGGGAGGAAGGACAGGCAAAATACTGGAGAGAAGCTTAGGGAGATGCAGAGGAAGTCCATAGCATCACGTAGGATGTAATACCTGTCATTGGATAGCAAATTTAACAGGTCTAGAGGAAGGAAATGGACACAGAAGAGTATGTGAAGTTTTGGTAGCTTCTTCAATTTGGAAGATTGAAAAAGTCATGTTAGTTCGTCTTGAGCATCTTCCTTGGAGCAGTCAGCATCTGAACTTCGCCCAAGGGCAAGTTTGTTAGTCCCACTCTGCTTGAATCTCGCGTCAGTCAAACCCCGTTTCTGGTTTTAATAGGAACCATACTGTACATGCAGCCAGCTGTCTGTAGCTAAACTTACACTTCTAAATGCAGTTATTGGGGAGGAGAGGTAAAGGGTGATAATAGTACTGGTGCTTTCTTGTTGGTTTTGACATTCATTCAGCTTGGGGGGGCAGAGAAAAAGATGTTATTGTAAGCATAGCTGAGGAGTATTTAACTTCTGAATAAGTAAAGCAGTGTGTTTACCTGTGTAGAATAGTTTTTTGCTTCTTGGCTTGAGCTGTCAGTATTCCCGGTGAAAGTGAAACAACAGAAAGTTCTTCAAAGCCATGGTTGTTCTGTTTCTTTTCTTGCCCAGGAGAACACAGTGGGCTGGGTTAAACAAAGTGTGTGCCAGCAGAAACCTTGAGTTGTGTAATTTTTTCTGTTGAAGTCTTGATAGAGTTACTAAGAAGCCCTTTAGTTTTGGGTGGTGTGCTGACTTAACAAGAGATTTATTCCAGCTCAGTGGTGTATTGATTTCATGCATATCCTGTTAGGTTTGTAATGCTGAGTCCAGAGCAGATCTGTCTTTTGGGCTGTGCCAAGTGGTTCTTTGGTGTCTTAGAGTTAATAGTAGGTACAGTCTGTTTGTATTCAGAGACTCCTTTAGTGAGCACGTCTGGGTTTCTCACGCTCATTCACATGCACTGAGCAAAAAAAGTGTGGACAAATTTCCTTGGCATAATGCCAGAGGAGAATGGGGAAGACTCCAAACATACCAATGGCTTTGCCAGGACATATACCCAAATAACTTAGAAACATCCCTAACCTCCCTGCTGTTTCACACTGCAGTATTTAAAGATAGAACAATTTTAGGTTGTGAAGTTAACTTCTAACAGTGTTGCACTTGTAAAAAAGAGTTCCTTGAGACTAAAGGAAATTGCACTTCTTAAATTGCAGTAGCACACTGCTGTTTTGCTGAATGTTTCCAGGTTTCTTCACATCTTGCTGCAGCCTGTTGTGCTTCATGAAGTTTCTAGGCTCTCCCCCAAAGTATCAACAGCATTTCAGAAGTGTGCAAGTGAATTGCACAGTTGAAAATTCATCATTAGGTCTGTCCTTTTGTAGTGTCTGAGGTGTAAACATTGTGAGACATCCTTGGGATTCAAGAAGTGAATAAACCAGAGACCCATTATGGTTGCATTCAGTATCATGACAAATCCCTAATGAAACCCCAGCTGTTGCTGTGATAGCAGCCTGGTGGTTTGGAAAGGGTTTTAGAATATGAGGGATTTTATGTTAAGTGTGTATCATTCTGTTGTGACAGGCATTAACGTCATCAGGTGGTAACCAATCTGATTTATTTTAATGCATGTTAAATATCTTCTTTGGGAGCTAAGATTCTGAAAACTTCTCTCTTTTCTTTTTCCCGTAGAAGGCCAGAAATGTTCACATTCGGACCCGATTGAGAGTTCTGATTCATATGGAGACCTCTCTGACACCAGTGACCTCAAGACTCCTGAGAAACAGAGCACCAATGGGTCCTTCTCGTGTGACCTGGCAGTCAGCAAAAACAAAATGGAGACGGAAGGAGAGAAGAAGTACCCGTGCCCTGAATGCGGCAGCTTTTTCAGATCAAAGTCTTATCTGAACAAACACATACAGAAAGTTCACGTCAGGGCCCTTGGTGGCCCACTGGGGGACCTGGGTCCTGCTCTAGGATCCCCCTTCTCACCCCAACAGAACATGTCTCTCCTGGAGTCGTTTGGGTTTCAGATCGTCCAGTCAGCATTTGCATCATCCCTAGTGGATCCAGAGGTCGACCAGCAACCAATGGGGCCAGAGGGGAAATGAGATCAGTTGGATCTTAACAAAACAGAGCAGCAGTCTGGCTATAATGATAAGATGCTGTGAATGAAAGAGGAAATAATGAAATTTGGTTCTATAGCTAAGAATTTTTTATTCATTTTAGCTTCCCTCTTTGTCTCATGCCCTACCCCACCTTTAAACGTTCACTGGGGAGAGGGAGAAAATGCTTCTTTAGCTGATAAATTACAGAAGATGGTGGCCTTGAATAGGAGATATGACCCAAAACAAATGGAGCATTAGAGGCTGCTGCTGGTGTTTTCTTTGTGTTCTTCGAGAGTAATCAAAAGTTACCAGCACTGGTCTGAGAAGGAGACAGTCCTAGTAACCGAGGCACCTCGGGAGCTGCAGCTACAGGGAGCTGTGATTTTGTTCTCCCTCTATTCCCCTGCCCTCCCTAAACTCCCCCAGAAAAACAGTAAGTTTAAAAAACAGACCCATTATTGAATATAATGTTGAATAAAATGCCCCATGGTTCCTAGCAGGTTACAATGCAGTTGTCCTTTTAAAACCAGAAACATTTAAAGAAGGTGAGAGAATTTGAACCCCTTCTGCCTTTGTGAGGCTGTGAATGCTGCAGCAGGACTGAACTGCTGAAAAAAATCACCTTTCAGAACAGGTTGTTTTTATTACTTTTGACCATTAAACTTGCTGTCAGGTTTTTAATTCTTTATTATTATTATTTTAGGACCTGTTGTAGTGAATTGCTACTGAAAAGCCAGTCTAAGGCGATACACAGAACACTCATAAAGCAGCAGTCACATTAGGGTTAGTATTAATTTTTTTTTTTAGATGTACCATAATTAATAACTTGGCTAGTTGGTTGTTTTAAGTCTATGAAAGAAATAGTTTTTATGAAAAAAAAGAAAAAGAAAAAAAAAAAGGAAGGAAAAATATCCTTACAGTCTGGTTGACTGGTGCTCATTTTTCATGTGGGGACCTAGGGGATGAACACGATCAGCTATCGGGTTAACACTATGTACCACTGACTTGTTTAGTGTGAATAAACCCAGGGGTTCACAGAGTGATTTTGGTTTAATTGGATTGGACTCTATTAAAGAAGTTAGTATGTTACTTTGCATCCCCTCGTTTTGTCTGGTTTTTGAGCAATTTAGCCACCTGTCCAAAAGGTGTGCAAATGAGAGCCAGTAAATAATTTGTGAATCCCACTCTGCACTGTGCTGTATTCTCAGTGAGCTGGGCTTTTTGGCCACAGTTGTGCTCTCCTGATCTGTCTGTAGTCAGGTTTGCAAAAGCCACTGTTACTCCTTTCTTTTACAAATGAGGTGGGAATTGCAAACAGCATATCTTTGGAAATTAATTGATTACAAAATGCAAAGAAGCTGCACTCCAGGCTGTTGGACATTCCATTTAATCTGAAAATACCACTTGTGCAGAAATAATATCCTTTCATGACCCTCCCTTTCCTTCCATGTAACTAGTCATGGTTTTATGTACCAAACCCAGGTATAAATGTTGTTTAACACAGGGTTAGGAGTTAGGAATACTCTGAGTTTTAATTATGGTTCTGCTGTTGATGCTCAAGGTCACATTTCCTGAATTTATTCCTCAATTTTGTATCTGTGAAGAATCTTCTCTACATCACAATTGTTGAGAGGGTTATTGAGCAAAGGTTTAGCAGTGATTTGGTAAACTGCTTTGTGTCTTGAATGTTTCTAAAGGCGACTCTGAAGAGCCCGTGTCCTGCACCAAGCTTGCATCCCATGAAAGAAACAATATCTATGTCCATCATTAATATAGTGCTGGAGCAGGACAGGCCTCCTTGGACCAGGTTCTCATTAGCTGCAGGAGATCTGTCTGTGTAAACATGCACAGAGACACAAATTGTGTTTTACCACAGCTTGCATTGCCCAGGTGCTTCTAATTCAAACGTTGTAGCTGATGCTCAACTGATACTCCCATTTTGTTTTTATGTTAGAATTAGAGAGCCCTTTGTAAGTATATGGATTTTGGAATGACATTCTAAATTCTACAGAGTTAGAAGACCCAGATTCCCTCTTGTAAGAAGCTACTTTTTGTACTTGCTCTTGACTATTATAAATCAAGGATGAATAATCAATGGCTTTCTCTTTATAGCACCAGCACTTTCTAAATTGAGAGCATGTTGCAGTGGACTTGATGTTTTGCTATTAATCTGTATTGGGAGACTGAAGGACATGTTCTTCTCCAGTCATCTCCTCCCAGAATCCTGGAATAGGTATGAGCCTCATTTAAAAGGAAAAACCAGTGAAACAAACAAACCCCACCACTAAAGCTTCATGGAATTGCTCTTGTTGTACTGGTAAGATTAGCAGACAGGTAAAAACAGAACATCTTAAAAAAGTGACAAAACATTTTAAAATACCTTACAAATCTAGTGCTGAGACAGCCTTGTAAGCTGCCAAGCAAATCAGGAGAGAGCAGGTTTTCCAGTCAGCGTAACAATTTGTTGGGATTAGCAAGGGCAGCTGCAGTCACTGATTTACTAATAGCTCATAATTAATCCACAAGGGATATTTCTGTTGAACTGAGGCTGTTTGCTGGAAGACAGAAGGTTTTGTCTCCAGTGTTCCTATATGCACTCAAAGAAGGTGCATTAGTCATAAAATTCAACTCCAAAAGCTAAGTCCAGAGTATAGAATAGTTTCATCCTACATTTAGCTCTCTGACTTTAGCGTTACAAGTGGGTTGAATTTTGGCTGTCTCTATCAGAATTTAATTTTGAGTGCTACAGAATTTGACCTGGTGAAACAAAAGAAAAGCCTTTATCTGTAAACGAAGCCTTCTAAAACACTGTGTATTCTGCTTGTCAAAGAAAATGCTTACTAAGTTGTCATGAATACATTGAATGAAAACTACTTACTTCTCAGTCTAGTGGACAGGGAAACAATTAGGCAGGAGGTTAACAATCCTGAAATGACAGTTCTAGATCATCCTAGTGTAAATGGGAGAGATTTGTACCTACACAGGAGGCTGGTGCAGGCTAGTGCCAGTAGGAGGTTGGGCAGATCTTTAGCTGTGGTGTGTTTTCAGTGCTTTTTGCTTCTTTGGGGGCATACCATTCCATTCTGGGCAGTAATTTAATCTACATGCAAATTCTTTTTATTCTGTACTTTGGGAAATGGCTGTTTCTCATAGAACATGAGACAGATCCAAGCTGAAAACTCAGCCTCACAGTTCAGAGTTCAAAGGGAGGTATGTAGCATGCCCTGAGCTGCAGTTTGTTGCTATTACATTTTATTTTTAATTGGTGTATAAATGATAGTTCTGATTTGGGCCACTCTCCTTTCCTTGCCTTCCCCTTTGGAGGGACTGCAAGCCAGTGTTTGAGTTGCTGCACATGTCAAGAAGGAAACTTCAGTTCATGCAAATTTATATAATCAGACTTGTAGTATTTGTTTGTATTATAGGAGTCCCATAACCTCTTATCTGAGGCTCAGAGCCTTGTGTATTAAGTATGATGAAAACATCTTCAGATATTCATAATCTAAATAAAGACAGACAAGAATGGAATAGATGCTTATAAGAGAATGAGTGAAAGATAAAGGACTAAAAACCACTTGCATGCATGCTTAAGTGTTGTATTAAATGTGGAGGCACAAACTTCAGGCTTTGTTTGTTGCCTGAATTTATAAATGTTAATCCAGAACAAATGCAAGGTGAAGCAATTTTAAGTGAATTTATTCCATACTGAGTTGAATTAGGTGACACAGCCTTGCATTTGTCATGTCTTAAATGTGTGCAAATGGTGTGGCTCACCTGACACATGGTGAGCTCTCAATCCTAAGTGATTTGCCCATGATGATATGGGAAATTGATAGCAGAACCAGAAATTGAACACAGAATTTTCCTTCTCTCAATCCAGTGCCTTAATTATAGTAGGGCAAAGTATTATATGTTGGGGGGATGTTTTTTTTTTTGGTTTTTAAAGCCTAGAACTATTAAGATGGTGTGGAGTTGGTCTTCCTGCCAATCTTTTGAATTATTGTAAATGCCCAGTCACAATTTTAGACCTGTTTGAGTGCCAGTGACTTAGGGAATATTTGTTATTTCCCATGTATTCCCTGAAATTATTGTTCCTCCCTCAACTGCTGTCAGCAGTAAGGAATGACTTGAATAGAAGAGCTGTGTAACTGAATGTCTATAACTCAACTAATTGAATTGCTAGTATGAAAGCTAACCTAGATTTTGTAGGCTCTGTTGTAACTTTAGTGTCTTGTTTTTTCACTAAATCTTTGTTCCTAGAATTCAATATCTAAACTTACGTCTTGAGTCGGGAGTGGGGTACCACTTTCAGCTTTAATTTTTTTTAAGGTGCTTGCTTGAGGAAGTAGATGCCAAAGTAAACTTCAAAGGAACTCCAGACTTCAGTGTTGGAAGAATGAATGGAGAACAAGAGCTCTCCTTGGGTTTCATGAGAGATAAATGGACAAAGTAAAAAAACAGCCACCAAAATTCTAAGTAATGAAACAGGAAAGGCTTTTCTTTACCACTCACAAAAATAATAAAATATTTTCAATTGTCACCATGGCAGAACGTCTGAGAGCGAGTGCCAGACAACATCATGGAATATGCTGGCTTTTTCAGCATTATGATTATACCTTAACAGCATCATCAATACCCAAAGGTAAATTAAGCCAGCTTAGTGCTGCTCACCTTTTTCTTGGGCACAATACCTGAGTGTTATTTGAACAGACCAGAAGCTCACAGTGAATCTGTGAGCTTAGGCTCTCAGTTCTACCCTGAGGGACAAAACAAATGAGCAAAGAGGGGGAAAAAAAAACCAGTAGGAAAACTTAGAAACAGATTCTGGAAGGCTCCAGTGTCTCCTGAAAGGGACGTGTTTTTTCATTCTGAACATGCTTTTCAAAACAAGATCTTTCAGCTGTTGTGAATGAGCCCTTGGGAACAGATGTGGATTCCAGCCCAATCTGCTGCAGCTCCCTGTCCCTGTGAGAAGGCAGCATGTTCCAGAGCACTGAGCCTGG